GGTATTATGGACCTGACTCAATGTCCTTTAAAAGTAGAGAACATGGAGATAATTAGGGAATTTGAGGATTGCCTTGATACTGGATGCTACTAGGAAATAATACTGAATTATATCAGTTACAGTAATGGTGCCTTGTTACTATGCAGTCAAATAACCAACCAACCAATCAAATAGAAAGGCAACATTCATATAGGAAAGACACACTGTTTGTTTATACGTCAGTGAAGGTTAAACAAAACAAGATAGAGAGCACAAACAGGATTTCTTTGAACAACATTCTTTGCATCACAAGTGCCTGGAGTACCACCATAGGTAGCTGGCCAGCCCACTATCTTTCCCACTTAGTGTTTCAAGTAAAGCATCGTGGCGGGAGTGAGAGTTATAGCTTCCTTTTTTTTACTCATTACACCAAAAATTATAGAGAGTGTTTTCTATCTCTAAAGCCCTACTTAATGATAACACTAATTACTGCAATTTCAAACCTAAAATGTGAGTAATCGTTTTATAAATGTGAGAAAATTAAGAAAGCAACAAACAAACAAACAAACAAAAACGCCATTTGATTTTTGTGCTATCATCAGCCAAATTCCCCAGGAAGGACAACAGTAACCCTGCCCTCCCAGAGCAACTGTAGGCACAAGTTGCTAGCAGCAGATGGACAGCTGTACACTGAAGAGGTTGACAAACAAGGATGAAATTAGATCTTGAAATCCACTTCATCATCAAATCAAACTTTAGCTCCACACAAACAATTTCATTTAATGAAGGTTTTTGTTGTTGTTGTTGTTGTTGTTTTTTCTTAAAGTCATACTACGATGGGTGCCCATGAAAATAGAACTTTACACATGCTATAGCCTTTATACTCACCATTTACTTGATTGGTCCAAATATTTATAGTTCATTGTTATGACTGCCAAAACTGGCAACCATGAGGATTGTTGTCTCAATTAGGACAGTAAACAGATTGTCTCTTTTTTTAATGAAAAAATCTAAAATGTAATACTTCACAGTTTCACATGTTTATTCATCCAAACGAGCTAAAAAATAATGGTGCGACATCTGTTCGGGAAACATTGGTACCTCAAATTTTGGCTGCCTCCCCACCAATTTGGTTGTTGTTTTAAAAAATGAAAAATAGGAGGGGTACTGTCATCAAAAATCTTCTGGCATGTAAAGCAACTTACTTTTCTGGAAATAAGCATTCTGTATCTGTTGCTAAGGGTAGAAAAATCATGTAACAAGGCGTTACTATGCAGAATGGTGCTGCGGTTCAATTGTTTTGAAAGATTCTCTCATCCACGAAGACTGTTCCACAGTGGTACACTTGACTCTCCAACTCTCCTTCATACTTATCTATGCAATGACAACTGGACAAAATGGTGAGAACGTTTCTATACATATTGGATTCACCTTTTGCAGTTTTGTTTTTACTGAAGGTTATAGTGATCCTAGATATGGACAACATCTAGCTAACATCATTCTATCTAGGCTACATTGGTGTAGTGCTAATAAAAGAAGGTAATGCTACTTGTCAGAAGTAGGAAGCTCCCCCCTTCAGAGAAGCCACAGGTAAGTGTAAAGAAGTCTCACTGTTGCTAAGAGAGAGAATGAAGAATCAGCTTTGGAAGTCTCTGAATCAGAAGTCTATTGCAAAAGTAGTACATTAAAATAGAAATATGTTTAATTTCTAAGCATTTATTTATGGAGTTTATCTAATATAAAGTTCACTTCAATGAATTATAATTGACTGTACACTTTCACAGTTTAGAAAACTGAGTGCTTTGATATTCACGTAAACATAATAAAAATTTAAGTTTATTTTTCATTTGAACTGAGTATGTATGGTAAGTTGACGTGAAATGCTAAGAATGCTTTTAAATGAATATGCACTAATTATGTAAAAAGGATGTATGGTCCTATGTCATATTGCTTTTGGACCAGTTGTTTAGATCAAAAAGAAATTAATGATATATTAATGATTATATACACTTGTATAATATATACATATACATATATATATAATATTCCAATACATCAGCCAACAAACATAAATGCTAAATTCTAAATTGATTAGCATTATAATTGGATTTATTTATTAAACTCAAATACTTTTTATCATCTATTATATTAAATATTCTCTCTGAGGCAACTAAAGTACACTAAGCCAAATTTTTTCCTGCTTTTAAATTCATAGGCAGATGAACATACATTGGGATGACAGAAATAGAAAAACTCATATTCTCAGCATCTCACCATCACTGGTTGTGGTTGGAGTATGTCTTCAGCCTATGAAGAAGTTGAAACTTCTTTATAAACTCTTGATATATTTATTGCCCCTCAAATAAATATAAATGATTTCATTTAAACTTACATGGGAAATTGTAACCTGTGCTCCTCATTCACAACTGGCCATGGGTTATACCTTAGCATTCCGGACCTGGTTGGGAATTTGTATCACATTATACATCAAGGAATTCCAAAGTCTTTGTCTACTCCTCATGGAAGCCCTTTCCTATTGGGAGGATGAATGGGGGTGGGCTGGGGAGAAGGTAAGTGCAGTTGGGAGGAAGGGTTGGAGGCAAAACTTTGGTTGGAATGTAAAATGAAACTTTAAAATAAAAAAATATTAAAACAAAACAAAAAAGGCATTATAATGTCTTCTGATTTTGTCCTTTATCACTCTGAGCAGAGTAAGTTATTCTTGTGAAATTGCCATGTCTACAAATTACACCTGATTTTAATCCCACATTTATGACAAATGCTACCCACTAATCAAAAGTGTAGTCCTCTGAAACAGCAGGGAGCTAACATTTTTCTGTCCTGATATATACAAACTAGACATTCAGCCTGGTGTTTCTGTTCATAAGATTGGCTGTTTCCTGCTAATATGAGTTCATGAAATTTGCATTTTATGAAAACATAATTATATAAAAATATTATCATCTTGCTTTACCTGCTATTTACTGAAATCAAAGCTTTTAGTTTGGGATTTGTTTTCTGGGAATGTCATAAATCAACAAGCTACACAAATGGACCCAGGACATGGAGAAATACATGTGGTAAAACTTGCTTATTATTACGGTACATTTCAACTGATATTTATTATTATAGAAACAACATTTTCTCTTCAAATCACATCTTATGAGTAGAGTGGAATGGCAAAGTTTCTCTCAGAACAGCCCCTTGTCTTGTCAAACGTGCAGGAGGCACACATCTATTTTGAACACTGTGAACTGTGCTACTATCTCACCTGGATAGGTATCTGATAAGCAATTATTACATATCCTCTCACTTCAATTACCACTGAAAACCAGAAATAAGCTTTATTGGATGTGTCTGTTTTTAACACCATATGGGAGGGAAATAACTAAATGAAAATTGCTCACGTAAATGTGATGAGATGGGAAGAAAGCAGTATTTCTTGACATGTGGCATGTCACTCAGGAAAGTAAAAGGCCCATCAAATCCAAAATGCCAGCTTGGATATTCCCTTGCCTCCCACTTCGCGAACAGATATACCACATGGCATAAAATGCTGCAACCTTTCCTAAAAATGCCACTTGGATGGGTCCTCTGTGGGGAGTATACAAGAACTCTTCTTCTGTCTCTTGAGCCTGTGAGTTCAACAGGAAGAATCCAGTAAATAACACTGGCTAAATTTTGCCATCAGATGTTTGGCATAAATAATCTGTGAGGATATTGGAATGTTAGGGCGTTTCACACTGATGTAATGAATTATGCTATTTTAAAAATTCTATAGAACAAATGCTTCACTGACATACTCAGCTTTTTGCAAAAGTACCAAGGACTTTCTGTTTTGTTTTTTCCTTTTTTCTTTTCTCTCTCTCTCTCTCTCTCTCTCTCTCTCTCTCTCTCTCTCTCTCTCTCTCTCTCTCTCTTTTGACACTATATTATAAAGCCAGAATTACTCCTAGAGTATTTATTAGAGTTTCTGTCTCTTGGCAAGTATGGAAATGATCTTAGAGTTGTATTACTTTTTAGAAAGTCAATGTACACTGTAAAACTTTGCACACATTTCAAAATAGATATTTTCTGTATGTCATTATATCAGATAGGAGCTAATATCAACTCTGTGGAGATTATACACAATTTTTACAAAACTCTGATTGCCAATAAATTATTGAATAGCCTTAATGCTACAACACAAAATTATTAACAAAATTTACAGAAAATTACAGATAAAAGTAATATGTGACATATATTTTTCTGGTTTTTTGTTTTTTTTTTTTTTTTCCTACAGAGGGGGAATTAATTCTCAAGAGACGAAACATAATTTTAAAATAGCCTTTTTAATGCTCAAATGTAAGAGACAACACAACAAAATGATTCCGTGTAGGTACACTCTTGCTAATTCTGCAGTATGAAAAACCTTGCACAATTGGATGGCAGATTGTTACACAGCTCCCTAACAAGAGAAGCAAGCTGATACCGCAGGCAGCCAGAACAACCTAATTAATATAGAATTCCAATTTTATATTAATGGGGTAACAAGTTAATTAAAATCAAGATCAACTGAACTTTCTATTTACACCAGTTCAGGCAGCCCAAGAGAAAAGGAACTCTACTTTAGGGACATATGTGACTCTTTGAGCTTCTGTCATCCAGGTGCTCTAACAGTTGGCAAGGAACGAAAAGATTTCTGTGGATGTATGTGCAGATAGCCTCCCTAATGAAATAAAATGTGTCTGGAAAGAAAGCACGCTTCTTTGTAAAATAAAAATTTCTCATTACTTTCGGGCCATTCTTGGGTTCTAAGTCTGATTTTAAGTAGCTTCTGCAAATAACAATGGGTAATTTTTCATACAATATACATAGGGTAAAATAGGTTTAGTGATTTGTAATTGAGATAGACATGTAAATAGGGAAGACATCTGAAAACTATGCTATTCATTTTATGCAACTGTACCATGAATAGGGTATTGGCCAAAGCAAAAGGATTTATAAAGTATCGAGTAGCATGCATGGCTCTAGATTGCTGGGTAAAATTTCCAGATACTTCATGCCAATAGGCACAAAGATATTTCTGCAAACTGACAGTACCAAGAAGAAAATATTCAAAATGTTCTAGATTTGGAAATTGGCAAAATATTTGCCTCCAATGATGCTCTTATCAGCATTATTTCCCTTCCTTACTGATTGCTGCTCAGCTAATCTTCATCTGGGTCCAGATCAGAGTCAATATTCGTGGACAGTCGGAGGTAAAAGAAAGCATAGAAAGCCAGTAGTAGGGCCAGGATAGCTGCAAGCATGAGGCCGACTTCCTGGGGAAGAGAAAACAGTACATTTGAGCTGATAAATAGAGACCAGCTATATCTGATACAATAACTATCACTCCGCGGTGTAGGTTAAGTAATGTTAACTCAATAATTATTAGTAAATAATCTATTTTTCATGATACAATACATATTGCAAGAGCAAGAACATGGTGGGTAAAGCATTTCTATTAAGATTTTTCTGTTGACAAAATTTAAATTTGTTGTATTAATATATTTTCTTAATGTTGTCTTCAAAATTTTAAGTGCAATAAATGTAGTTTGGGCTTATATATTTGAATTGGTCTCTAACTGAGTATATGTAACTATTTTTAAGTATTATATTATTTATAAGTGATATGATTTATCAGAAGATATTTTTCAAATTATCATTCTACTTTCTTCTGGGAAGAAACGCCAATGATAACTGCTGTTACAAAATAGATCCTATACTAACATAATGTCCACCCTCATTTTATTGGGATTATAATAGAATTACAAAATGCCTTCCTTTCCTTCCTGCTCCAAAACCTTCCCATACACTCCTCCCCACTCTCCTTCAAATTCATGGCCTCTTTTTCATTCAGGAATTCAACTTCGTTTCTTTTGTCTTTTCTCTCTCTGCTCTCTCCTGTACTCATCCCTCTTCTTTTTGAGATACATTGGCACCTCACTTGTTTAATGATTGAGTCTGGCTTTCACTTCCTGCCCTTTCTACCCCAGTCTCCAGCTGAAGGGCTGAGATTGCAATTCTGTGCCAACATGGCTGCCTATGTATTCTACTTTTTAGAACTGTAAACTTTGTAACTTACAGTGGGCTACAAAAGGGAAATCTGAGCTCATGAGGTATAAGCTAGTGTGATTCACCTCAGTTCTGAAGGCAGGGAATTGTACACTACCTTTGCCATTTTGACATTGATTATATTAATCATTTATAGTAAGGAAATGGGTAAAATTAAACATATGATAAAAGTACTTTTTCCTTCAAAAATATCAGTGTGTGTGTGTGTCTGTTTTACAAAGTAACTTTCCCAAAATTATAATGTTATTTTACTGTACAGAAAAAAGAACAGAGTCCAGTTCAGATTCCAAAAGAATGTAAAATACCCTACAGATTTACTTTTGGATTATAACTCTTACGTGGCACTGTTTCATGGGGAAGCAATTCATTTGCATTTGCATGAATATATTTTACATTTCATATGAATGTAAAATAAATAATTCAACATGTGCCACCTATTAAACTTTTAAAAAATATTAAAATGAATTTGACATATAATCAACATGAAATTTCGGGTGAATGTTGAAAATACAAACACAGTATGTACAGATTTTTAGTTTCTTGAGTACATTTATTTAGATATCCAAACTATTAAAAAAATATTGATAGAAAGTACAGTGTGGAAAACTGTGTCAACAATTTTTGTGGGACTTGATTTTTAAAATCTAATATATCAACGTAATGTCAAGCGAAAGTGAATTTTTCTTGGTTACAGCTGGAACACCTGGGCATCTCCAAAGGGCATGGCAGCTTGAGACAGGTTTCATTTATTTTCTCATAGCCGCAGCTGTGCTCCAGGCACATCTGGTTAAACGGCTACTAATTTAAGAGGAGGTAATAAACAAGTGACATGGCCACTATCTCCATCTGCTTTGTAGAGTGGACAACACAACCGATCAACAGCAGCCATCACTTACATCAGTTCAATGAGACATTACAATTTTTATTCTTGGTTCAAGGCTGTGTTTCTCATCTTAATGATAACCACGTTTAATTTCTACTTTTTCATTCACTATCCTTCAAACAACTTGTCATTCCCTCATGAAATTTGTTCAGGATATTTAGAAGTATTAAGACAAAACAAAACAAAATAAAACAAAAGACACTGAGGGCGGTGGCACAAACACTTTCCTTTAAAATTCTATTTGGTGGAAGCAAACACCATGGAGGGTAACTGTTCGGAAGTTTCATGACATGATTAAATCTCTAAATGAAGCTTTCAGAGTGCTGGAGGCTGTGACTACAACTTCAGACACCTGTAGGCATATGACTCCCTTTCCATGATTAGGCTGCTGTTCATATTTAAACCAGAAATAACAAAAAGAACAATATTTCAAGCTGTTCCTCCCAAGGGATGCTGGCAGGGTCTGCCTGACACTGAATATTTGATCGATGTGGAGATGCTAAATTTTCTATCCTTATTCTCTGTGAGGACTGTATTTTTCTAATAGACCTTTAAAACAAGCAAATGCAGATCTGTATCCTTCTACATGTTGGGGAACACATGTATCTGCATTCTAGGAGAGTTTTAGTGATATGTACAAGTGTGTGTCTATATATGTTTCTCATGCTTTTTCTTTGATTCTTTTTCTTCTGCTTGGTTGTTTTGTCCTATTTCAGATTTTTTTGTTTTTGTTTTATCTTTTTTTATTTTATTATTAGAAGCCTGTTTCGTTTCTAGCAAGAGGGAGAAGGGCAAGGGTCTGGATAGGAAGGGAGTTGGGGAAGATCTTGCAGGAGTTGGCAAAGAGAAAACCATATTCATAATATATAATATAAAATTGTTTTCAATAAAATAATTTCATTTTAGGCTGAAACTATTCATTGTTCCTCTAAAACATTTTCTACTGTATTATTAGAACAAGACACCAGAAGCCTTAAAGGGCAAATGCCTACTTCTCAAGCTCAGTGCACTTGGTTTAACATGGTAATTCAATCTGGAGGTGATTTCCACTACACTCTTTTCAAGACAATCTCATCTTACTCATATCTATAATATTGTAATAGTCTATAGTGATTTGTAAGTAAATTGGATTAAGTAATGCTGATATGACTGTCATAGTAAGCATATTAGAAGTGCCTGATGGTTTGAAGAGTTTAAGTCACTAATACCCATAATACTAAGTTTACAGCAAATCCAGGAGCACTTTGCATCATAATGGCTGCACAATGCGTGAACAGCCGAAGTAAGCAAGGCCCTCAGAAATATTCATGGGTCTTATTTATACAAAGTAGACTCAGCTAATTTGGGGTTTTCCCTAACACTTCATAGTCACAGATGCCTTGGATGTGGTAAGTTCAATTCTACATTCTCCCTATACTTTTTAGTTCTGCTGACCGCTCTGAGGTGAAGGGTAGAGTTTCCAACTACAAATACCTCTTCTCAGATTTAGTCACATCACTCATGCCAACAGTGAGGGTCACAAGGGATGTGATCTCTGGCCTTTCATGACATACTCAATTTTGAAGTTCTTCTTATAGTCCAGGCATCCGTTCATATTTTCTGTAGATTCATATAATTTGAAGAGTATAACTACGACCCACTTAAAAATAGTAAAGTAGTAACAATACAGCATTATGGTCATCCTGTATCAACTAGGTAAGAGTCAAACATGTTTGATGTTCATTAGTTCTCAGTTGCTTCTCTGACATTATCAATATGGATAAAATCACTCACCAGGGAAATTAAAAAGCATTAAAAGACAATTGCCAAAGGAAACTCTGTTATTTAAAATCCTATGGCAAAATGACAAGGCAATCAAAGTTTGACAAGGCAAACTAATTAGTATGCTAGGTTTGAAATGCAAGACACCTTCATAGTTCTAGTTCTGATTCTTAGAAGTTTCATATCATGCTATGGCTTCTGAACACACATTTTTATGCAAAGAAAATAGTAGTTAAAGTCTTTATTCTCAAGGCCTATCAATCAGAATGATATGCTAATTATTAAAATAATTCTTTATCCTAGTATTAGACATTTTAGTGTATAATTTTAATGTAAAGAAAGCTAAGAAAATGTAATTCTTTATAGCTTTTAAAACAGATATTAGCTACTAGTACTGTATACTACTTTAACTTATAATCAGAACACAGGTATTTCATCAAAGTAAAACAAAAATGATAACAGCAAATTAAGTAAGGCATGCAATAAAATGTAGTATATAAACATATAAAAGGCTGCATTATTTCAATGATCTTAATATATAACTATTCATTAAATTATGCTAGTAATATATTTTGTTACTAATATTTCCTTGATAAGCCTCTAGTATGTTGTGATACATAAAAGAAAATATTAAATGTTTCCTTGGAGGACAATGACCATGTGATCAAACATAAAATAACATCTAAGCATTATTTTTAAAAAACCATGTCATAGAATATCTTTTATATATTAATTATAAAATAATCTAAAGAGATAAATCACTTTTAAACAAAAATACCTTGTTTTTTTTTTTTTTCATTGAGACCTGCCACACAACCCTAATTGAGGAGCCTGTATTGTGAAAACAGCATATCAAACCGCAATCAGCAATCAGGGGGGAAAGGAAGACAACATTTCATGATCATAATAGCAAGTTCTGGAAGATAACCAAATATATCATCTGGCAGTTCAACAGCTGTTGCAGCTTGCTGGTAATACCTTGGCATTTGTTATAAGCTATAACTTAGAAAAATTGATTTTTTTATCTGCTAGATGAAAACCCAAATCATCTTTTAACAGTTTAATACTTAAATAGAATATTTGTATTGGTTATTTTTACTTTACACATTTGGTAGTATTGGTTCCAAATGAATTTTCCTAACTTCATTATAAAAATCTTGTTAGCAATTGACATGAACAACAATAAAAAAAATTTGGTTTTGTTAGCATATTGAACTAATATCCATTAACATCCTCCTCCATTGTACTTATCTCTCCTAAGCAGATAAACATTGGTTTGCCAAAAGGACAAGTTGGGATATCATTAGAATTTCATTATACAGACTTCTAGAGATGATAAAAAGACACTTGTATTCTGGCAACATAAACAAATATATAGTGAGATTCATGTGTAAAAAGATCTGACTAAGCCACATACATGACTGAACCGTTTGAACAGTTATAGTAGCTAAATAATAGCTTTAAGAGAAACTTGTTTTCTATATACTGTAGATACTATATACTTTAACTATAACTCTTATTTTAAGAGTCCTCAAAATTTCAAGATAGAGATGTTGTTTTCTAATAAGTAAATTATTTTTACAAAAACCTTTACTTCTGACACTTTATTGAGATTGTATTGGCTTAAAGATGTTCAGAATTCAACACTGACACAATTCAGCTATGTAAAATGAACTGGCATACATGCATTATATTATAACTTTCTCAAACAAAAGTATACCTTTATGCCTACTGCAGTTTTCTTTGCTTCTGCTTTTAATTTGGTTGCTCGTAAAATAGGTTTGGTCTTTTTATAATCCTGTTTACCTAGAAACAAACAGTTTCAGACAATGAGTTATGTTTATGTATAATTCCAATTGCACAGTCACCTATAAAATGGCAAAGAATGTTTACAGAAAGTAGAACATGGGCAGAGAACTCCATGGAAATTTACAGGTGAGATTACCATAAACATCACTCAAAGACCAGTGTCCTTTGACTCTCCTCAGAGGGTGACTCTGACATACATCTTGATTTGATTCATAATGTCTAAACAAAATTAAAACTTTGATTTTTTTAGAGAATATGATATTCACAGTAAGTATATATATTTGTAATAAAGTTACTAATAAATGAATATATAATTATATGATTATAACTATATGTGTGCATAATTATATAATCAATCATTATATATAAAAATAACTCCTGCTAAATTTATAATATTGTGGATACATTAAATATTCAAAAGATTATCTTAAGAAATATTTGGTCATTTTCCTCTGAGACTAAAAGAGGAATCTATAAGCAATTGACTTTAAATTTCCTAAATTCATTAAAAGAAAATATGTCTAACTTTCATTCCTTTCACTAGAGGACAGAATAGACATGACTAAGTAAGAGAGAGGATAGTGACATTTAGATATGACACTCAAACTTCTTTACCACATTTCACAGCCAAAAGGAAGAAGAGAGGGAGAGAGAGGGAAAGAGAGAGAGAGAAAATGAAAAAATGCAACACTGAGTGTCACACAATTTCTTGTTTTGATGTACCATCTGGTGACCCTCACTGAGGAGCTACAAAAGAAGAAGTACTCAGCCTCAGAAAAAAAATGTAGATTTCACAACAAAAGGATTATCAAGAAAAATATGTATATTAAAATTTTCTCTTAAAGGAAGCAAGTGGGAATAGTCCTAAGTACAAAACTATAATGTAGTATTCTAACCAGCAGCTGACATGGCAGTGTAGCATATTTCAGAGCTTCACTCTGCTTTCTGATTCTCACCTCACCCTTTTCTTCTCAGAGACCAGTTCCCAGAGCTTAGCCACACATTTATTTCCCTTATCTAAATGATACAATGTTTCACTACAAATTTCCCATCCTACTCACATGCAAATAAATCTGAAAGCAGTTGATCTAAAGTATGTCATAAAAATTTAATGGGAAATACATCTGCTTCTTAATGTGTCTGCTAATGATTCAAGAGTACCTTTAAACTTCCACGTAGACTTAGAGGCAGAAATGGCAGAGAAGTGAGGTAAATTGACAGTAGAGATGGAGAAACTATACAGTTGAGTTTGTTGGACACAAACAAGTGTTTCTCCTGGGGCTGAAGGGCTCTGTGTTAGCTCCTAGAGCTAGAGTGTGTTTTCACACTGCTGGGCCGCAGGCACTCTGCATCTACCAGCAGCAGCTTAGTAAGTATTATTTGTTGATGGGGTTTAATGATGCGGGAAAGAGTCAATTGTAAAAGATGCATATCAAATGTTCTAAATTTAAATAAATAATTAGCAGGAAAACGTGACTCTGAACCACTTAAATTAGTAACATTTAATTTTGCTGGAAAAAAAAAAAAACTTGACAAGTGTTCATTCTGATTTCACATCTCAACAGTCAAGTTATTCTTGTATTATTCCTGCTGAGATATAAACAGTTCGGAACAAGGGAAGTGGTGTCACAACTTCTCCACTCACAGTTGCCAAGCACATTTGTAATGAAAATCTGAAAATAAATGTGAAGATTACAGATATAAGCAGAAAGATAACATTCTCATTCATCTTGTATATGTCTTAGAAGAATCTTAAGGTAAAATGAAGAAAAATAAGTGTGAATGATGATTTTAAACATGATTAGTAAATAATATTCATTATTATATATAATACTCCATCATAACACACAGCAGGTAGGTATTAGAGTCAATGTAACAGGAAGAATTTTCCATTCAACTTTTGCTACCATAAGACCATTGGTTCTCTATTATACCTAGAGTCTTTTACAGAACAAAACTTCTCAATTACCATTCATTTGGATACAAACAGCTAAAAGTGCTTTTAAAATGATGTTATTAAAATTAGTATGCATCTGGAACATTTCCAAACAACACATCTGGCATTAATTTCCCATTCACCTTCTGGTCCATGGCATGCACCAGCATATACAGCACAATGTGTTTTATAGTGAGAATGTTCACGGAGCATCTACTAAGTTTTTGAAGCTCAAATTGCATTTTTCTATCATAGCCAGAGAAACTTTTAACATGTGCATTTTAAAATTTTCTGACAGTGTCTTGTTATGTAGACCAGGCTGGCCTTTGAACTTAGGCAAAAATCCTTCTGCATTTCCATTCCTAATGCTGTAGCTTACAGATGTTGTCTTTACATGTGTACAAAAATTATATATTTATGGCTTCAGGACAGAAACATATGCCTTCACAGCTACAAAAACTGTAATACACTGAAATCCCTACATACTTGTTTTTAGAGAACTTGCACTTAGATCACGAGACTAGCTAATCTAGATTTTTATATATGAAGTATTAAGCTTGCATTTGATTTTGGATATGTCCATAATACAACTGGGGATAATGTAGCTTAGTGATTATTTAAATGTTTAGCATGCACTAGGCCCTTTATTTAATCTCCAAGCATAGGTAACTATAAATAAATATGAATAAATGTTCATAGTATTTCACAGACAGTTGCTTAAGTTGTATACAGGGAACAATAAACTGATAAATCCAGCCAATGAAGATGATCACTCTGATTTTTGTGTTGTAGCACAAGTTTTTCTGCTTTTAGGTATAGGTTGCCAGCTCATATGTTAAATATACATATATATCATGCATTAATATATAATAACCATATTTATCCTAATTGTGGAAGAAGCTGTTCAGAGACCATGGTCATCTTCTTTGTTATTATTTGGATATGAAATGTACTGAAGGCTTGGCTCTCACCTAATGCTCTTATTTTGGGAGGTGTAAGAATCTTCAGGAAGTTGGATTTGTCTACAAGAAGTAGGTCACTGGATCAAGCTTTCCAAGGTTATATGTGGTTTCTTGACCCTTGTCTGATTTCTGTCAGTCAGCAGGTGAGTAAATCTCTGTGACATGCTCTTGCTGTCTTGAAAGCTCATCACGGGCTTAGAATGAAAAGACTATAGACTACACCACTTGAAACCATGAAGCAAAATAAATTCTTCCTTCCAAAGATACTTTGTCAGTTATTTCAACATACTGTAAGCATTTTAGCAAATGCTGCATTATTTCTCTATATGCAACAATAATCACATAATAATTTTCTTCCCAACTGTATGTCTTACCAATTGCTTTAACTTCATTTCTCTAACATAATTCTGATACTCTTTTAAAATTCTTTCTTCATTTATTTATTCTGTGTTTTTGCAGGAGGTCAAGTGCATGTGTGGACGTCAGAGAACGGTTCTCTGGAGCCACTTCTCCTATTCCACAATGTTGATACGAGGGATCAAACTCAAGACTCCAGGCTTGGTGGCAAGTATTCTTCTCACTGAGTCATCTTGTCTGCCCCATGAAACTTTTTAAAAAAATCGCGTGTGTACATGGATTATTTTGCTTAACATAATACTCATCAGTTCCATCTTTTTTTTCTACAAATGACATAATTTCATTATGTATGTTTAAAGAGAGATTCACTTGTGCAATTATGAAATGAATGTTACAGCAGTCACCAATAACTTTTGAATGGAATTTAGACAAGCTCCTTTAGATAGAAACCATATCTACTACTAACAATAGAACCAAGAAACTACTGCTAAACAGGTTATAGGTCCATGGGGAGAGCCAATACTATTATTCTACTCAATGGACAAGTATTGAAAGAACTTCTAATGGCTTATTAATATATACCCAATAGGTCAGTTTATCTATTAGCCTTCATCAGGGAAGCTTCTTTTTTACACTAGTGGATAAGTAACATAAAGACCCGACTCCTATCCAGAAACGCACAGAGACAGCTGACCTGAACAAGGAGGAGCTAATGGGCCACCAGACTGATAGCTGGGAAACCAGCATTGGACTGACTCAGAACCCCTGAACATGGGTCTCAGTTAGAAGGCCTGGGAAGTCTAAGGGACCTTTGATAGTGGAACAAGGATGTATCCCTGGTGCTTGAAAGGACTTTGGGAGCACATTCCCCACGGAGGGATACTCCCTGAGCCTAGAGGTAGGAGGGCGGGCCTAGACCCTACTTCAAATGACTTGACAGATTTTGTTGATCTCTCCTGGAAGACATCACCCTCCATGTGGATTAGAAGGTGGGTGGGAGGGGGTTGGGGGTATGGGAGGGAGGGTGAGGGAACTGGGATCGATATGTAAAATAAGAAAAAAACAAAAAAGACCAGACTCAATAGGTCAATGTACAGAGAAGAAGAAATGGATACAGAAGCAAAACTGCAAGTTGGGTAGGTGGGGGGGGGGCGAAGGGAGAAGAAAAGGGGATCAATAGATTAGAACATATTGTATGACACTATCAAAGATTTAATAAAATATTATTGAAATTTTCATTTTATATATTCAGTAACATTAAAATATATTTAAAAATAAGCACTTTCCCTAGAAAGAAACAAATAGTTAAACAAATATATATACATATACAAAATATTTTTTGTAAAATAATAAATTTTATTACTATCCTCATTACCAGTAATCACTCCTCCTATAACTTTAGGAAAGGATACAGTAATTTATATGATGCTCTAGATCAATGTAAAAAAAAATCTATGTTCAAGTAATTATTTCATATTTAAAGTAGCATTTGCTTTTAATATTACATAGCTTTAAGTAGAAATTGCCTTGTTTTAGTAAAAACAAACAAACAAACAAAAAAACCAGACAACTGTCTTTGGCTCTATCCTATTCAATTCTTTACCTCTCGTCAGAAAGGTGCTTGTGTCTTTGCCTTTGTTGAAGTGGTTGCTCAGGTTCATTATCATGTGACTATCTGGTGACTGCTTTTCAGTGGTCATCTTTTTAGAAGCTAACTGTTTTTCTTTCTACTTCACATTGGC